TGAAAAATGTTTAAAAGGATGTTTTTTGTTCCATAGTGGAAAAAAAAACAAATGTTAAAACCTCAGAATTTTTCATGAAATGGAATATTTGTTTTCCAGCCAGCCCTACTCAGTATCAATTATGTATAAGTTAAATGGGACAGCTGCATTCCTTCCCATTGTTGAGGTCTAAGTTATGTTCAGGCAAAAACAAACAAACAAACAAAATTAGGTTAAGAAAATGTGGGCTTAGTAAAGACCTGGCCAAGAGCATTGGACTCTAAATGTAAACATTTTAGAAATTATTAAGGGTGATTATGAGGTGATATCCTGGAAATACTTAAAGACCCTTAGCTGTTGTTAGCACTTTGATGAGAATTTGATCCATGTATATTTGTATGTCTGCTTAGAAGAGGAACCTAAAATACCTTCTTGGTTACTTGCCTAGGATTTATGATTAAGTAGCAACAGTGTAGCTAGAAATGGAAAAGTCCTATTAATTCTCCATCTCCACCACCCCCCTGCGAAGGACAGGCTTATAGAGCCATTAATACAGGATGTGGTGATATCTTTAAAATGGCCCATGTGTACCTTCTCCAGTGAGGACAAATGCCTTTTGTATTCAAAACCACCAGAAAAGCACCACAGGGATGATATTAGCAGAAAATACACCTATAGGAAGGTGGTCTGGGACTTGCTATGACAGGAGGAAAACTAAATCAAGAAGTCCTTAACCACCATGGACAGCTCACTGGGTTTAACCAGCCAGTCCAACGCACTCACAAAGCTCCATCGGAGCCACAATCTGATTTGATTTTTATCCTCTGGAGTCTTGCCATAATCCACAGTCTACACCAACACCGAATGCCAACTGCATTCACCATGGAACTATATATAGTAGGAACAGACTTTATGAATTAATAATAACTGAGTCCTTGCCCTCAAATTTGAAAATTAGTTGTTTCAGTGTCTACTAGATTCTAGGAACCAGACAGCAGAATTTGGCAAAACTTAATTCAGTTCCACACAACCTTTTTTTTTTTTTTTTTTTTTTTGCTTGACTGCATTAAATGAAATACATACTGCTTAAATAAACCGGGCATCGTGTTAATAGCTAAATTGCGGGAGTTCCGACTGCATCTGGGAGTGAGAAAGGCAGTTCTGGTGAGCGGCTGGCTCCTTGCTTAATAATCTAGAGGATTTATGCACAGATCCAGTGCAGGGAAACTTCTGGGTCTTGCTGATGGCGCTTTCTTTTCCCTATAAGCGATCTCCTCACCCGAGTAAAAGAAGTTAGAGCCTGCTTGAGAAACTCCTCTTACCTGGGACCCAGTTGGCATGGGGGGTCTGAGGGAAGTCAGTAAATGGGAGGAAGTGCTGTTCACAGCAGACACCACAGTTTCTGCTTCGGGAAGAGCACAACAATAGGTCATGCAAAAGTGGGGCATGGGCATGGGCAGGGGCATGCCAGTAGCGTTTGCGAGCAGGGATGCACAGCAAGCGGAGCTGCCTTCAGTGCAATCCGAGCGTTTACGCCTTGGCTTCTTCCTCCCGGAGCCCGATTTACACGACACCCGGATTCCCGCAACTCCCGGGGAGCGCCCCTCCTTGGCAGACCCTACCCCGCAAATGCCCCCTCCGCACGCAGCCTCCTGAAACTGTCAGGCTGCACGAATAGGTTTCTCTGATCACCCTTTTTCTCGGGGAAAAGCTTCAGCTCCTGGTCTGTGCTGGCAGCCTGCGTGCAGCTGCTAAAAGGACAGAGCTCCTTTGGGGGAAGTCACACAGCTGCCTTGTTGGGGACAGCGTGAGAAGGGGCAGGGAGGGGCTGCTCTTAAACCAGAAGGTGAAGCTCGCAGTGCTCCTAAGCGGCACTGCTTTTAGAGACAGCAGGGAGGCTTTTCAATTCATTTTTCTCTTCCCCTTCTCCCCCCTTCTCCTCCAGGGATGTTGTTATAACTCGATTCAAATTAGCTGAACCTGCCCTGCTTGTTTGCTTTTGTTCTTTGAGCCTGGCTGAAGTTTCCATTGCGGAGCAAGTCTGCTTGGAGTCAGAGCCTTCTCCCCACCCTGGAGGAGGGCTGTTTCTAAGTGTTAACAAAAATCAAGCAAGAAAGAAACACAGTCCCGTAGGAAAGTGGGTTTCCTCACCCAGCCACACAGACCACGGCCATTTTCCACATTTTTTTTTAAATGTTATGTCAGGATGCCAATTTTCTTAGCCAAGCTCCCAGGTCAACTTCCTACAGGAAAACTGATTTACGCCTGTTTGGGTTTTTTTGAATGGAAAAAAAAAAAAATCAAGGCGTAGCCAGCCAGCAATGATTCAAGGGCATCTTTCCAACGTACATTGTCTTTGATAGAGGGAGGGAAGACAAAGAGAAAACATAAGATTTCAACAGAGAAAAGCTTTGACTTGCCCCGGGGGTTTGGGAAAGAAAGGTGCTTCCACAAGCTAGTTAACTTTCCGGTTGGCTTTCAAGGCTGGGATTTCTTCGCATTGACGGGGGCCAAAAGGAAAGAATTGCTGCCCAGAGCGGCAGGACCCCGTTTTCCTTGTTAAGACCGTGGCATTGCCTCTGTCTGAGACACAAGGTAAGGCTCTAGCAAGACATGAGTGACCTTGATCTAAAGAAAACTTCCCTTTCCCCAAGCCTGGATCTTTGGCAGGGCTGGTTGACCCTGTGCTAAAACATCACTAGATCGAGATTGCTGCTGTTTTGAAGAAGCCCTGAGCCAAGTACTGATGTCCCCAGGCAGCTCGGAGGACCAAGAGCTCAGCTCCTTTCCGCTGAGATATAAACAGGGAAAGCTTTAGAGGGAGCTGGTTCAGGGGGTGGTCAGGGTGCCCCCCCCCCCCCCCTTCTTGAGCCATATGCTCGGAAATGATGGGTTTCAACACAAAAATGCCAGGGAAGTAACTTCCCTGAGATCATCATCCAGCATCCCTGGTGCGAGAGAGGGTCTGATGCGTGGTAGGAGCTCTCTGGGTTTGCTGGAGCCCCACATGCTCACAGAGGTCACTGAGATCTGGGTCGGTTCCTGGCTCCTAAGTGCTAAAAAGGTTCAGGATCCGTGAGAGCAAGATCCGAGAGAGAGAAAATCCTCCCGATCTCCCCCCTCGAGCATCGCCCCAGACTAGAGGGCTGAGGCATGTGGCACCTGAGCCTGGAGGGAGAGGTGATGGGAAGGTAACTAATGATGTCACGAGTTATTCTCATTCAAAAAGGGCAAAAGGGTTTCCCTCTATATATTCAGAGGACAGCCTTCTTTTCCCCTAGCAATAAAAAGAGGCAGCAAGGGAGAGAAAAGCACCTGCTTTCAGACACTTTCCTCCCAAATTCATCTCTTACATGCAGCTCCTCTAGGGCTGGATTGCTTTAAAAATCTTTTCCATTTTGATTTATTTCACTTTAAAAACAACTAGGAGGGAAAAAGATAGAATATATTTTTTTGGAAGCGATTGCTAAGAAGAGCAACCTCTTTTGGCCAAGGCGAGCTCTGAAAGGCACAGAAGGCTGTAACTCAAGGAAAAGGTGAAGTAACACATTGTGAGGAAACTTCGGTATTCCAAGTTTATAAGGGACTATTTATTTTTCTTGAGTTTGTAAGGGGATTTTTTTTTAATTTGTGGGGGAGAGGAAATTCGAAATATATATATATATGATAGACGGTTTGCTATTTACACCAGTCGCAGATTTATTAGTGGGTGGTGGAGAGGGTGCATTGTAAGGAGGGGGCTACAATTATTTTAAGGAGTAGATATAAAAAAAAAGCCTATTCATTATACAGTGTCCCGTGAATTTCTGTATAGCACGAGCGATGCGATGCTTTGGATATGATTGCAAGCGTCAGCCCTTTTCAGCTGGAGTTTTACTTGCCTGTGTGGGCTGAAATTTGGCTTCGCGGTGGGATATTATTGTTATTATTATGCAAGCGAAAACCCAACCTGCAGGTATGACACCTGGGGTTGCTACCAGGTATGATACCATGGGGCTTATTTTAAGCTGCCCTTTCTGCAGAGTGGGCTCTTTGAGAAGAGTTGCTAAAGGGTTACACTGCTACGTGAAGGTTTGGGAGGGAGTTTGAAGTTTCTTCCCAGCCCGGCTTGAAACCAATGGCACTTCTGCACCGACTCCTAGCGGCAGGGACCACGCTGGAGTTTCTGGTGCCAGGCAAACAGGTCTGCCCATGTGCCGGGTGTGTGGCCGCAGAGCCGGGGGGCGTTGGGAAACCAGAGGATCCGAGTGAGAAGGGGGAGCTGCCTCGGAGAAAGGGGCATCCAACCAAACCCTAACACACAAAAAAAACTAAAAACCACGCCGGGTTTTTGTTTCTTCTCCTTTTTCCTCTGCATCTCTCTCCCTCCCCTGCCACCTCCCAGCCTGCACAATAGCCGGGGGCAGTTGCTTGCGCAAGGAGGCTGTATAACAGGGGCGGATTGTGTTACCCTTGGTGATTATTATTATTATTAGTAGTAGTATTTTACATAAGTGCTATGGAAAAATCCTACCCTTGCCGCAGCAGGGAGCAGGGATGGAGGGGGGCGGCTGGCTTCACAGCCCAGGCCGTGTGTGTGTGTGTGTGTGTGTGTGTGTGTGTGAGGGATGGAGCACGAGGGGCTCTGGCCGGGCTCCAGCTGTTCCCAGCTGTTCTCCAGGAGCTCGCCCTCGTGCCACGCTGCTTCTCACAAGCGTTTGCTTTTCTTTCGGTGTAAAAAAGACCCCCCAAAACTGCCACCGCTCTTGTGAGCGCCCGAGCTGGTGGCATTTCCCTGCTGGGGGGGACGACTTTTTTCACAAAGTTTCTCCTTCTCTCGGCTGCCCTCCCTCCCTCCTTCCCAGTGAAAACGATGGCTCAGCGGCGGCGGCGTGCGGAGGCAAAGGCAGCGCGGCCCCCGGCTGGTAGCCCCAGCCGCAGGGCAGAGG